TGCTGTGTGGATCCACTATTTTCAGAGGAAAACACGATTTTCCGGGGCTACTTTACATGAAGCGTTTTCAAGCCTCCATGTGTCAGCCTGAACCCTCATCCAGAGCGTGTGCGCGCCAGGAGTGTCGCTTTGTTCCAGCTCTTTTGTATGTCTAATGACTTCCCTCCGCGGGTTGTTAGCACTTGACAGCGGGTCTCAAAACATGGATCTTCCCTTACAGTCATGGATTCAAAGGAGCTCCATCTAGGTACATGATTGGCAATTTTTGTCATGATCCTCTCATTATTAACATAGAAATTGACACAGAAAGACGCGATGGAGAAACGTATTATGCACCATGGCTGATTAGGGATGTCCCCACAGAGCTGAGGTGTTGGTGTTGGTGGGTGGGTGGGGTGGGGGAACAAACTATTTCTGCCAAATTCTCTGTCTTATTAGGCTTTTAGTGAAGAAAGATATGAGGGCCCAAAAAAAATTTAAAAAATAAAATAAAAGGGGGGAGCACATCTTCACAATTAAACTTAAAGAAATCTGGTTGAAGTTTGCAAGGGGACATTCAAACCGCGGAAATATTCACAGTTGTTTTGATTTCATTGAGATATTATTTCTTTTCAAACAGGCTGTTAAAAAACAACAATGGTCGCACAACACAGAGAGCCTTTAGAGAAGTTGTTTATGAGTTTGTAAAATGTGCTGTCCTTTTTGTCTTCCTGACGTGAACCGGGCTTGAAGAGAAATGTGCTTACAGCGCTCCCAGATGCTTTGCCCGTGTGCGCGATATTTAAAAATGGCCTCCCCCAATAAAAAGAGCGACCTGCAGGACCGGGTCGTCTTGTGCTCAGGGAGTTATCTGTTGAGAGAAGTTTCCTCCCGCTGGTCTGGTGACGGGACTGACGTCTTGCTGAGAACAGCGGCGGAATACGGCAGAAATCCACTCTCGGACCTTTGCGCGGAGGCCGTGCACGTGAAGTCGGCCCCCGCGCTCCTGGAGCCGAGCGCGCCGGCCGCCTGGCTGCTGCTGTGGCAGCTGAGGCACGAGCACGGCCCGGAGGCCGAGGGCGCGCTCACCGCCGCCGCAGCAGCGGCCGCCGCGGCCGCCGCGGAAGCCGCCGCGGAGCTGTTGAGTCCCGCGGGCGACTGGTACAGTCCAGGGTGTCTGAAGCTGCACAGGAGCTCCGGCCGTGAGTACGGGTGGGACAGGGCCCGGAAGGTGTCGAGGGGGCGGATGGATGTGGCGAAAGGGGACGAGGCGGCGCTGGTGGCCGCGGCCGCCGCTGCCGCCGCCGTGACGCCGACGTGCGGGTAGTAGTGCAGAGGCATGTGCGAGTGGAAGGGGTACGGTAGGCTCCCCGTGGCGGCCGCGTGCGTCATCATGTACGTGTAGAAGCTGGGGTCTGCCGGGTGAGGCCAGGACATGGCCAAACGCTGTCTTTTATCCTTCATGCGCCTGTTCTGGAACCACACCTGCACAGAGTCCAAACAAGGCCCGGGTTGGAGCTGACATGTTTTCAGCAAAGTCAACAACTCAGAGGAGTGGGCTTCAACACACACACACACACACACACACACACCTGGTCTCAAATATTCCCAACAACTGTTTACAAAAAAAAAAAAAAAAAAAAAAAAAAAAAAATAAAGAGAAATAAGCGCAAAAAGCTGAAAATTCACCCCAAAACACAATAATAATGAAATAATAATAATAGACATGTTAAAACTTTTTGTTTCTGCAGCTATTTTTTACTTTAAATAAATTAACTGTTGAATTGATCAAAGTTTTTTTAATATTTAAAAAAAAAAAAAAAAAAAAAAACATACCAAAACCTATCTGGTTTTAGGATAAAAAAAAAAAACATAATTTTATTCTCACGTCCCAATTTAAATCATTTATTTATATAGTTGTCGTCCTGGTTTATCTTCAAAAACAGTCGCAGTAAACTCAAGCTTAAACAATTAATTTCCGGCCTACCTTAATTGTAGTTTCTGGCAGATTTAAAGCTGCGGCTAATTCACATCTCCTCGGCCTGGAAACGTAATTTTCCCGGTAAAACTCCTTTTCCAGCCTCCCGATCTGTTCCCGAGTGAAAGCAGTCCGGTACCTCCTGACCTGGTCCGAGTTGGAGTTGTTGGAGGCTCCCGTGGAGCCCCCGTTCATGGCGGACAGGGAGTTGGAGCTCATGTTGGAGGAGGCAGAGTTACTGTCTGAAAACCCTGGAAATCAAACCAACATGGATCCTTTTAATCATAAAGGTGGATTATATAAAATAAACACAGGCCTGTAATGAGAAACGTGTATTATTTTAGATTATTTATGAGAAATTTAATGTTGCATCTTGTCTTTAAATTGCAATAACAATAATGCAATAATAAAATAACCTATATTATTTTAATAACTTTGGAAATAAAAATATAAGACTAAATCATAAGATGGTGGATTATTATTTTTATTATTATTATTATTATTATTATTATTTAATTTTTTAACATAATTTAAAAAAAAAGAAAAAGTCCAAATCCAGTCTTACCCTTGTTGTTTTCTTTGTGCTGGCTCGGGGAGCGGTGCGCAGGACATCCCACCTCCACATCGCTGTTGATGTCGGATTCCTGGGAAACCTCAGAATAAAGACTCATTTTCTTTCTGCTCTCTGATGAGGAGATGTCCTGCCCGGAGCTGTTCTCACTGTTGCTGTGGTGCGTCCCGAAAAGACTCTCGATCTCGAACTTGCCTTTGGTCGGGTGGTCGTGCATGGAGGCGGAAGTTATTCTCGGGCTCAGCCGCCCTCCGTGTTGGGAGTTCTCCAGGGCCTCCAGGACAGAGTTCCCCGGCGTGTCTGCCAGCCTCTTCCCGGCCACAGGACTGTGCAGACCTCTCTCCATCAATATCATCTCCTTTCTTATCCTCTCCATCATTAAGGCGCGCGACACGGAGGAGAAGGGGGGGAGGGGGGGGGATTAAATTAAAAATAAAACTAAAATAAACAGACCCTGCAGGAGCACCAATGAGTTGTGTCACAGCTAAATCCTCCCCTGAATAAGTGCCTCTAAAGCTTTTTATAAGCAAGACGCGCACAAAAAATAAAACGGAGTGGAAAGGAGCCGCGCGCGTCCTCCCCGCAGCAGCCAAGTGTCATTCATCAAAAAGTGCCGGCTGTTTTTGCTGTTAAAAAGCTGCTCTGACGTTGCTCCAATGATCATTTATTGTAACAGGTTTATAAGCAAATAAATAGGAGAGGGCTGTCACTTGATGATGGAGGCGGCCTTCGCTCAGACGAATAATATCCAAGTGGAGAGGAGGAGAGGAGCGAGGAGCGTGCGTGTCCCTGGCTTGATCTCTGAGTCTGTTTCACATTGCTCCTGGGTTTGGCCTCTTGGGGGAAATTGACAGTCTGATTAATAAAATGAGCGCAGCAGTGTTTCCCTCTTCATTTAGGAATATTATTATGCTTTGATTCTCTATTGTTTGCCTCCTCCCCATGTGCGCCCTCCCCCTTTTTGTAGTCCTTGTTCCTTTATTTATTCCTTTTTATTGTTATTATTATCATTTTAAAGCGATTTGTGTCTTTTGATCTGCATGTGAGGTGTTGTAAGATTCAATTAAAACGAAAGAGTTCAGATTTATTACTGTTATGATTAGCATGGATATATTTATACTTTTAGTGCAGTTTGCGTTTTTTTCTTCCTTTTCAGAAATGTAGAAATTTGTATGAGTTAAATACATGTTCATGTTTGGAATTACTTCATGGAGTTTCACTCGTTTTCCGTCATCGCAAACGAACTAAAGTCTTTATGTTAATAATAAAAAATAACTTTAAAAAAGCCCAAAAACTGCACTTACACTTGACATGTTCTCTTATGGTTTAATGTTAAAATAAAATTGTTTTGCAGTTGTTTTCGTTGTCTCAGTTTGCATGTATGTTAATTTCATCAATTAGAATTTAAAATTGTGCACCTTTTTTGACACAAGCGGTCCATGTTCTGTAATGGTAAATAATTAATTAGCAATACATATTTATTATTTTAATGACCGAATGAAAATCGTATAATCCTTGCATACTATCTCGTTAAGTAAAGATAACACCCATGAACTGGTTGTCTAACAATGTAAAAAATAAAAAGAAAGAAAGAAACTGAGCCTCTTCTGTGCGTCCTCTGGCGCCCCCTGCAGGTTTTATTATTTATAACAAGCACTGATGTCAGGTTCTGTTCTGACCTTCTAAAATATTTACCGATTTGTGCGCGTGGCAACAGCTGTAATTATTTGTACCAAGAAAGAGCAAAAAGAGAGCTTTTCTCCAGAAAGCAGGTTGTTCCAGTTTTACCACTAAATGTGAAAAGTATTGACAAAATGAGACAGAGTCACTTTTATTGCATGGAACCATGCTTTGTGTGAACTAATAACTAATCGTTTAAAATGTGTTTTAACTAAAAATAATAATGATTACACATAAAATAACTTAAATAATAATGTCGTTTTTAATAAAAACATTAATTTCCCCCCACCCCCAACTTTTTACAATCTATTCTGTTCATTGTTTTGTTAGCGTGTTAGTATTAAGATCATTTGAAGATGTATTACAGTGATTGTGTGACAAATTACTATTTTTGTATTTCAGGAAAGAAGTGAAAGATAGTGCCAGAGGGTTAAAAAAAAAAGGTTTTAACATTCTCAGTATAAACAAGAAGTGATGTGGAGCACAAATAACAGGTTTAAAGCAACAGTTCTCAATTCTTCTTCAAGCAGCAGAAATAGTTTGATTATTTATTTATTTATTCATTTCAAAATGTCATAAACTGCACATTTTCCATTTGGTTTGCCCGTTCAAACAACACCTTTTCACATCAAGTTGTTCTTGAAATGAAACGTTTAAACAGTCCAAGGTGGAACAACAGTGTTCTGAGATCAACGTGTTTGTTTCAGTGACGGTTTCTTCTCGGCTGCATTTTCTTTCTCAGAAAGTCTTAAAGTCTCATTTGGATGACAAAGCTGTGCAGTTAGATTATAAATGTGTGCACGTGTATAAGTAATAAATAAGATATTAAAACTTAACACTGATCATTACTTAAGAGAAACTACTTGATAATTTTGGTATGGCCATAGTTGATTTGTTGTGTGAAACACTGAAACAGTTTCATGCACAGTCTTATTGTGAGATGTTGTAAGATCAGTTATGAACATGTGTAACTACTCTCAGCTACTACCACATGCAATTATAGCTCAATATCTGTATTTGACTGTGTTATAATTAAGGTTGATTATCTGTGGCAACCTTGAAAAGGGGTAACTCCGAATGTTAACCCATTACATCCAGTTACTTTCAGAGAGTTTTATTAAAACCCACCCACTGGTTCAAGAGGTATTTTGCTAACAGAAAAACAAGGTTGATACCAACAGTTAATGCCAAAGGTTTAAATGATTGTAATGCTTGGAGTGTTGTGAATGACTCTCAGCTATAAAAGCTAACAGAGTTAGATACTTTTCTGCTTCATGTCAGCTGTGGAGGCCATCTTGATTTGAAATTTAAGGTTAAATGTACACCCAGTGCATTCTGAAAGTTTTCTTAAAAACTGTCCTGCACTTTTCATGGTCAGAGTTTTGTCTGAAAGCAAAGATCTTTTAGGGAGATGGGTCACCGTGACAGTATGTGGAAAAAACACACAGCCAAAGTCTTATTTTACATTCACAAAACACTTTGAGTTTACTGTTCTATGTATTTTTTTTATTATTATTTTAGGGGAAATGATAAATAGAAGTCTTGCAGTATGTGAAATATCAGCACTTGTTTTTTCAGGGTAGTAATAAATGTTTCTGTTGATCCCACATGAGCTCTAAAACTGAAGGGACATCAGTTTCACAGACATTAAAAACTGTGACTGTATTTACACACTGTTGACTTTTAGATAATCTTGTGGCACCTGTGAGATGCAACAACAATTCCATAAAAAGCAGTGCATCATTATAGGAATTTATTGAATCATTGTTTTTTTATTTATTAAGGACTATATTGGTTATTAATACGTGTGACTGTAATCATGTTAAAAGATTCCAGGCAACACCAGCAACAACAGAAACATCAATCCTCTTATATCATGTGTTGTAAAATCTGAGCAATTTAACTAAACTCAAGAACAAAAATTGTTGGGGAGGTATTTTAATAAAGTTATTAAATATGGGTGTTCTGTAAAACATGTGGCATTGCATGTCATTAAGAGAGAAATCCTGCCTGACCACAGAAAAAAAACAACATTCTCAATAAAAAAACGTTTCATTGCACAGAGAGAATTTGACATAAACATGGTTTTAACCAGAAAGTCTAAATATGAGCACAGAGGACGAATCTAACTGGTTGTTTTGACAGTTGCCATTGATTGGTGAGGAATCTGTTCTTCAACATGATGCAAATGACATAACTGGGTTTTTAGTAAACTTGAAATTTTAACTTCAATATTACCAGTTTTATTGGACTCGGTCTCCCTCTAGTGTTCAATAAAAGAACTGCAACTTCCGCTTACACATTCCAGTGCTTTTTAAGTACTGTACTGAAATTTGGCCCCCAGTCAAGAAAAAAAAATCACCACTCTTAAAACACAACCCACAATGCTGGTTGCTTTTAGTGATATATAAAACAGTATCATGCTCCATGACTGAAGATTTTATAATTGTTTACATCAGTTTTGAAGCTGAAAGAGCAGGCTGCTGGTATTAAAAGGGTCAAGTCCACATATGCACAGAGGATCCGGGGTCCTTTCTCCTCACAAGACAGACAGAGCATGTGGAGGGCATTAGGTGTATAACATATTATAAAGGCAGGAGCGTTTAATGCAGAGACCCATCACTGCCTGATGTCTTCAACAAGTTGTAAGCACGCTTTGAAGACCGGAAAGGACCATCCTACACCAAACTCACCTCACCACCGGAAGAGGGTTTTCTCAGCGTGACCTCAGCAGACGTAAGGAGGACCTTCAAGAGGATTAATCCTCACAAGGCCCAGACAACATCCCGGGAAGGCGCTGAAAGACTGTGCCAATCAGCTCTGAGGTGCTGGCCGACATCTTTAACTCCTCCCTCACCCTGGCAACATTTCCCACCTGCCTGAAGATGGCCACTTTCATCCCAGTCCCAAAGAGCTCTACAGTGACTGGTCTGAATGACTATCCCTCACCCCGGTAGTCCCTTTGAAAAACTGGTCATGACCCACATCAAAACAACCATAAACGAGGACCCTCATCAGTATGGATACCACGAGAATCGATCAACAGAGGATGCCATCTCCTCTGTGGTCCACACTGCTCTCACCTACCATGGAGCAGAAGGACTCCTACGTCCGTATGCTCTTTGTGGACTTCACATCTGCCTTCAACACCAAGATCCCCCAAACCCTGATGGACAAACTACTCACACTAGGACTAAGCCCCTCAATTTGCAACTGGGTCCTGGACTTTTAAACAGACCACAGTCTATGAGGATCCATAACTTCTCCTCCTCCACCATAACCCTCAGCACTGGCTCCCCTCAGGGATGTGTGTTGAGACCTCTCCTGTTCACTCTGCTCACGGATTGTGCACTTACCTGTCATATTCTAAAGTTTGCAGATGATACAGCGGTGGGGGGATGCATCACGACAACGATGAGTCCAACTACAGGCAGGAGGTGGAACACCTGGAGAGCTGGTGCAGGAAAAACAACCTTCACATCAATGTGAAGAAGACAAAGGAGATGGTCGTGGACTTCAGATGGAACAAACCCCCCCCCCACACACACACACACACACAAAAAAAAAAAAAAAAAAAAACATAAGAGAATCTGCGGTGGAAGTGGTCTCCAGCTACAAGTACTTGGGTGTACACCTGAATGACAACCTCAGCTGAAGCAACACCTCCAGCCTGAACAAGAAAGCTCATCAGAGACTTTA